CTGGTGGGAATCGAACCCACACCGAGCTGGCGCCACAAAAGTCCAGAGTCCTGCTGCTTGCCACTAATGTCATCAGAAACAGAGGCGCTCAACAAGGGACGGGCCTGCCGCACAGCACACATGACACAACACACGTGAGTGAGCAACAGAGGAGCAAATGCCTATGTACAAAAGAGCAAGTGCACACGTTACCATATTCGTCGTAGTCGTGCTTGGTCATCCAGGCGCCCTCAAAGCTGGGCTGCGAGGCCAGAATCGATCCGCCCTCCCACACGGCCAGCCCCGGTCTCGCCGGGCTCTCCACTCGCACCTCCACGCCTTCAGAACCCGCCAGTCAGCAGCATTCTCTCGCGTGTGCGGTCCTGCGCGTGCGGTGGTGCGTGTGCGGAATCAAAAACACGGAGCGTACCTGGGGGCGCGAGGGCGGCAACTTCGGCCTGGAGACGCCGAGCGAGGTTGGGCAGGGCCGCCGATCCGCCGCACACGACGATGTTGCCGTAAAATTTGGCCTTTAGCGCTTGGGGGCTTTTGTCGATCACCTCCGCGATGATGCGCGGCAGGCCCGACCCGTCCCACATTCCTGCCCAAGAGGTGTACACATGCCAGACATTCATGACCATATCGTGGCGTGTGTCGTGTGTCGTGTGTCGTGTGTCGTGTTGCGTGTCGTGTGTACTCGTAGGCGCAGGGCGGAACAGGAGCTCGGGACACTTGAACCTCTCTTCGCCGACGGTGATCTCTCTGCCTGTTTTGTTGTGCAAAGAAATCGCACACAGGACACGTGGATGTGACGACTTTCTTCCCCGCCTGACGCCTCCGGAAGGAGGAATGCTAATGATGAGAGGGTCTGAGTGTACCGTCGCCCAGCTTGACTCGCTGACGGATCTCGTTGCGATCGGCCACTTGGTCGATGCGCTCCAGGACCTCATTGGGCAGGTTATCGAGATAGGTACCCGCCAGGTTGCCCCATCGCGGTCTGTCGACCAACACGACGAACCCGTGAGACGCGACACGACACACGGCACGCAGCACGCAACACGCAATACGGCACCACGCAACAAGACACGCAAGACGACGCACTCGATACGTCGTACGCCAAGACCGTCTTACGAATCGTACCCCGCGAGCCTGATTTGAGATTGCTTGGCGAGGATCGCCAGATCGTCGTCGTAGTGTAGTGAAGTGAAACAGACCTGCTCCTTCACCTCTGTCATGTTGGCATGTGCACCTGTGTGTGTGTGTGTGTGTGCGTGTGTGTGTGTGTGTGCGAGTTGAGTGTGGTGCGTGTGAGTTTGGATGTGCGTGTGCGTGTGCGTGTGCGGTGTCGTGTATGCACTCACCTCTGAGGAGGTCTCGCTCGCGCGTGGTGGCAAAGGAGTGTCCGACCAGTTGCATGAAATAGTCAGTCAACGCGAGCCCGCCGATGGACATGAGCTGGTGCCGTCCGCTCGAATAACGCAACGTGTGACCTGCATCGCGCACGACACACACGACACGCGACACACGACACAGCATCCAAAAAATGAATGGTTGACGCGTGACCACACACTGATCAGCCATGATGGTAACGAACCCTCGTAGACGCTTAAGACGTTGGTCTTGTCTTGGCCGATGTCCACCACGAGCCCGGTCCGCCGCTGGCCACTGGCCAACAGCGCAAGCGCTGTCTGATTGTGTGTTGGTTTGTTTTTTTAAAAAAATGAAATAAATGTAAACATGGAACATAAAGGAAATATAAATTGTGTAAAATAATAATAAAAGAAAATGTTTGGAGGGACCTGGCTGGCGGCGTAGTAGGCGGGCACGTTGAAGTGTTCGAAGAACACCTGCGCGGCCTTCTCCCGGCTGACGCACGGCACGAGCGGGTCTTCGGCCAGCAGCACGGGATGCTCCTCCGTCTCCACCTTCATCTCTGTGAACGCGGCGCCCCTACTCACTCACAGATTCCACCGCCACACACGCGTACCCCCACATTTACCAACATTTTGTGCACATCATGTAGAACGAGTGTAGCAACAATGTTGTTGTTGTTGCATTGAACGTACCACAGTTGCTCGGCCATTTCCCAGCTGGACACCACGCCATGGTACATCTAGATGATGCCCAGAACGTTGGCTCAGGAATGAAGTGGTGGCTTGGGTGGTGGGGGTGGGGCGTACCAGGTACTTGATGGTGTACTCGCTTCGGTTCTGGAGGGCCTGGGCGCCGAATGCCAGCTCGCACGCGTTCGAGCCCGAGGCAGCCGTTTGGGCGGTCGTGGCTTGTAGCTTCCTCGGCTGGCCCACCACCGAGGGCATGACCAGGCGCGGCAGGGCCTCGCCACCAAAACCTTTGTGCCAGAAAACGAAATTATTATCAGATTATGTTATTATATTAAGATTTTATTATTAGATTTAGATTTTAACACTTATTAATCGGGGCGGGAGGAACGCGGGCATGAGGGTACCAACGCGAAGTGCGGAGCCGCCACAGTCGATGACCAGTGCCTGCATCGCTTTCTTGCGAGAAATATTTTATTATTGCTGCTTGACATTCCTCAAAAATAGGGTCCAAGGGTGCTGAAGTACAGTCTAGGCCAATGCACAAGGTAGTTGCCTGTAAAACCAGGGCCACATGTTTTCAAGGCTGACCAAAGGTGTGAACATTGTCCAAGGCATGTGAGAGTTAGACAGTACATGGCCCAAAAAAAAATGTGCAGCAGGGTTCTAGAAGAACAGGCAAAATTCCACAGAATTCGCCAAGGCATGGCAAGCATGCCCAAAGGGCTGGTGGAAATCTCAAGCGGAAAAGCAGGGGACTTACCAGAGGGCACGCCAGCCCAACTCGCACCTTCCACAACACGTCATCCCGCTGGCCTCTGTCCGTGTGTGTTCCGTCACCCCGCAGACTCCAGCCCTCACAGAGAGCCCCACCCCAGGCACACAACACAGCTTCTTATTTCCCTAACAAGAGACATTAGATATAAATACGAAGTTTCGAAACATGAGCGTACACTTCCCCTCTTCTTCGCAAACCTCCCATCTACATTTAGTTTTTTTTTTTGATATTTAGTTATTTCTACTCCTTTTTTTTTTGGTGGGCGCACTGGATCGGATCTGCAGACGTCGACGCAAGATGAAGCCACGAGCGTGGTGGCCCCCGCCGAGGTGGCCAGCGCCATTC